AAATATATGTAAACAAACATGCGTTGTGAATGAGTACTACAACGAAAGTACGTTTAATGTTGCCAAAATGTATTATTCTTTTATTGCGGGCACTTAGTGCTCGAAAATTTTCTCTGACCTCTAGACTGCTGGGGACGAGAGTACCTCGTTTCGCTGCGAAGGAAGATCGTTGAACGTCCTTTGCGAAATGCTCCGTTTACTTTCATTTGCGTAAGGGTGGCCGTGTGACATGGACCGCATCTTCATTGTCGTAAGGACGAGGGAGTTAAACGGCCTTCGCGGGTGCCCGTGTGACAGGGGTATAAGACATCTTATCGGGTAGCGCTCCACTGCCCTCTCCGTTCGCCCGCTCGCTCGTAAACCTGCCCAGCTAAAACTCTCTAATAACTTGGAAGTGTGGCAGCTTGGCTAGTTTGTATGGCATGACGATAGTTATAGCGCGAAAACAAAACGACGACGCAGAGACAAGGAGGACACAAGCGCTCGTGTCATTAGTGTCCTTCTTGTCTCTGCGTCGTCGTTCTGTTCTCGCGCTATAACTATCGTCCTCTCTAATAACGTCATCGTGAGCGGTGGCTACGGCGGACAACACCAATGGACAAGTTCGTACATTAGGAGCTTTGCCAAAAAAAAAAAAAAAAACTCTGGTGTAAGGTGCGCCCATTAAAGGGGCGCGCAAACACTAATCAACCTGCATTTTTTATTCGCGGATGGTGCAGACTGATGTACAGAGAGACTAATGCAGCAAAAATAGCAGAGATAACAGCCATTTTCGACGGTGTTAACAGTCAGAATTTATTCGTCTTCGAAAATTCAAAAACAAGAAAAAAATGCCGATCCTCCACTCAATTTTCGTGGGGTCGCTTGACCACATTTCACTAGATGGATGAATGAATGGATCAATAAATGCATGAATGTTTTCGGCTGCGCCCTTTATACCGAGCGGCGGTTCTCGCCACCTAGCCATAGAGTTAAGTATACTATCACTATCTGCTGACGAATTGATTTTCACTCGCGCCTCGAAAGTAGCCACCAATCAGTTAGCCTCCTCCTGGTTATTGTGACGTTGGAGGCCTGCCCCAACGAAATAAGCCGGAAGCAGCAAGGTAGGGGAAACCTCGCTCCCCGCTGTTTTTTTTTTTTTTTTCACAGTATTGTTGACCTTCTTGTCAGAGTGATCGGGGTTAGAAGAGGAGAAAGGCACCTAATTTCTGCAGTCCGGACGGGAGCACGGGGCAGTGCCTAACGTGGCGCGTGACGCTTGGCTTGTCAGAACGTCAGCGGGAACCATTGTGTGGGAGCGAGTTATTTTCTGCTGTTTTTTACAACATTCAGAGTAACTCCCTCTGCTTATTCTGAGAAAGGACATTGTAAAACGACCAGGCCAGTGAAGTGTTGTTAATCCTTCACGCTTTCTTCGGTGAGCCGCCCGACGAACAACAATGGTACACTACACCCATTGAACTGCGCACGTGCGGAAAGAGACTGCTCGCAAACTCCCGAAAGCAATGAAGAGGCAAGAAAGAAAGAGAGGTCTTTCCTACATGCGACCCACGCAAGCCAAAAAAAAAAAATCCAGTTTTTTTTTTAGGCACTGCGCCGTGCTCCCGACCGGGTTGCAGAAATTAGGTGCCTTTTCTCATATTCTAACCACTACCACCACCAAATCCAGTTTCGGAATGGCAGCCAGCGTCTGTGTCGTGTTTTGTAGGCGCAGTTATCTCTGCTGTTGTGGCGGCGTCTGTTCAGGGTTCGGTAAAAAAGCACACAGGAGAGAAATGAAACAGATTAGTAGTCTGAGCTTTGATCCAACAACACTATCAGTTCCAACGTTACGATTACCCAGTCATATGGTGGCAACCTTCCAGCGTCATCTCCGTGCGCAAAGTTCTAGCGAGCGCTACTATGTGCTCATGCGGCCGGTAGCGATGTATTGACATCATTGTGTGATTAAAATGCTAAATCTTCCGATAGCGGTGCCTAGACCTATGCTATAAATATCTCCATTCGCTTCGGTAGTGTTAGAGGGCTAAACGCGATTGGCTTAACACGTCGTGGTATGAAGCAAGGGCTACATTTTCAAATAATGGTCGCGCTTGAAACAAACTTTTTAATTGTCATTATCGCTTTACTTGCATCTTTCTCGGCTGTTTCCTAGCAGAAGACAACGTTGATTTTTTTTTTGGTAACGCCAACGCCACAACTTCTGCGAAACGGCCTCTCTAACGCTAATACGCTAGAAACGTGATTCAGGAGAAATCACTTGCCAAGATTGGCTTCAGGACATAAACAAATGAGTCATGTGAAATAAGACAGAGGTCAAGCGCTTTAAGTTCGCGGCGTTATTTGGGACTCCAGAACACACCGCCACACGACAATCGCTGCAACTCGTAATATACTCGCCGCTGCATCACAGTCGTGGATCTTGCTTAACATTCTAGCCCAAATAATTCCTGAATTTAGGCGTAACTCATGTATCTGAGCGTCACTATATTTATAGAAAAGTTTTAATTGATTAAGTCGAGTATAAAATTTAAGCAAATTTACCGTCTCTATGGCCAGTGTCTGCTGAACATAAGCATACCATTCTTTTTCGTAAGCCGAGAGGCTTTTCGCGAATGAGAACCTGCAAGGCATGAAGTGCCACGATACATGCCGTTCCTACAACACACGTGCGTTTCTTAACTCCAAGATTGCTATGAAGTACATTTTATAACAAAAAGAGCTTCACGTATTCACAAACTAGTGCAATCAGCCTCGAGGTCTTGTGACTGCAGCAGAATTCTACTGAAGTTACGACGCTGTTCGAGGCCCAGCAAGGAAGATAACTTTCCTGAACAGCTATTTGGCATATCATACGCTGTCTGTGTCACAGCGATATAAATATCTTAGCAGTCAGTTTGATAAGAAAAGCGATAAAGAACGCAGCGAAGGCTTCCGTTGAATAGCGATAAAAGAGACAGCTAACGTAGTCATGGAGGTTAGTACGTGAAAGGTATGATTATGCGCAGAGGCAGCAGACGACAACTGATGTTTCGGCACTGTTGAACGCCCAAGAAGAAATATAACTTACCAAAGCAGTTGTTTGGCATATAATACGCTGTCTGTGTCAAGGCGGTATCAATATCTTAGCAGGAAGATCGACAGAAAAGGTGATAAAGAACGCAACGAAGGCCTCCGTTGAATAGCGATAAACGAGACTGCTAGCGGAGTCAGAGCTTAGCACGCCACAAGGATGACTATGCGTGGAGGCGCCACTAAATTTCTTCGTCCCACTGCTTTGTCAGAAACTCCGCCAAGTAACCCTTGGCTAGCATAGCTTCCAGCGCAGCATTCAGTCCATAGTCAAGCACTGTCCTCGGAAGGGCTATCTTCTTTCAGGACTTGTATACTCTTCGTGGGTGGTTGTGGTGACTGAACTCTCGTTGCTGTTCGGAAAGAGGTATGCGTGTTTCGTTCGAGAACTTTTCACTACACTTTTTAACCATTCATTGTTGATACTAACAATCATTCAATAAGGGCTGAGGTTCTACATGCCATAATAACAATAGGACTATGAGGCACGCCGCAGTGAGTGACTTGGAGATTGTTTTTGGCCCAGTGGAGTCCCTTGACCTGCACCTATTTTAAGCAGGTGGGTGTTTGCTGCGTTTCATCCTCATCAAAGGCGACCGCCGTAGTTTGAAATCAAGCCTGCTTCCTGAGAACTTTATACTACTGCTTCTTTTTACGACTGCCTCATTATATAGGCTGAATACAGTAGACTTTGGTCGTCATAATGAACTGAACTGAATCCTATTTTCATGTCTTGTTGGCGGGAACAAAACTGCACTGTAAGACACCCTCGCAAGCTTCCGCACCCATAAACGGGTTGCGAAAGCAGAGACATGTAATAAAAAATAAAAAATGAGATACAAATACCGCGAATGCTAGCCAATAAAATAGCTTCAATTCAGAATTACTTTAAAACGTAACTTTTATAAGATGCAACATTTATTTATCAAATATCACAGGTGTGAAGATTACCTATTTGTATATACTTGCGTTACAAAAGCGTAGAAAGGAGTTATATTGAACCTATTTGTACATACTTGCGTTATAAAAGCATAGGAATGAGTTATATTTATGTAATGGTTATATAAAGATAACAAAAGCACTATTTATATTAACACTAGAGAACATTTTCTGATGTAATATTTTCTACGTATACAGCTCTGCTAATAGGGTCGTCCCACATTTTAGAAAGAGCATTTCAAATAACATCACATTCCATCTGGTCACTGAATTCAGTGGTTGAAGGACCAACAATAAATTGGGCTAGCGTGCATCTTATTTATTGTCAGATGGTTCTAGGTACGCGAATTAACAAACGATTGTTCTGTGTTTTTTCCTTGTTCTACAAATTTTCTAAGTGTAGATATTATAAAAAAGAAATAACGCATTTACTTGTATTCAATTATCAAATCAGAGCTAACAGAATACAGGTAACCGAATATAGTTATATCAGTCCTCGCTCTTTAGCGACAACGTAAAGAACATTATTCGATGGTTCGTAGGATTCTCAATGCCTGCCTGTGCTGTGTCATCTTATAGTGCTCATGCTAATAGTATACAAATACTTTTATCAAACCGAAGCCGATAGTGGAAGTATATACTTTGCTTGTGTCTCGTGCATGTTAATTGTCGCATATATTAATAGATTAGTAAGCTGACTCGTGTCTTTTTCTAGTGCATCGACTGCTTTAGATACTGGTTTCACCGAGCGTTAAACGACCATCTCCTATTTTGATTTGTATCAGTTGACAACCAGTTTGTATTCGAAAGATTGCTTCCCTAATCGCTGAATTATCGCGGAGCATGAGTCCTGAGTAATTATGGCGAGTTTATCGCCAAATCCACACACCGATAGCTTTGGTATCGGCTTTTGTGTTTCGGAGACTTGTGCAAAAACATTCTCGCAATAGTGTCACCCCATTAGTGCCCCGTAGAGGTTGTCCACAGCATGCTGAAATGTTGGTGCACTGTTTTTCTTCGGTTCTGTTAAAACGGTGTTAGTGGTAGTGCAGCCGTTGAGGACAATGAACATAAGCTGGAAGCACCGAACTGAAAATAAGGCGACCGCTACCTAACAACGACGAATGACTCTGCACCGTGTCAACTTTCGCAGCCAGGCCCTGAAAGCAACACCCATTTCGCGATGAAGGGGAGCCCGCACTATGCCATTGTTCGTCATTCTCTGGATTGCCACCGAGCAGAAATACGTGGACAAAGGACAAGGTATGAACAGCCATATCGACCGAAAACCAGGCGTCGGGAAAACAATGCACTATTGCCGGGATTACAAACATGATCCCTGAGGGACTTTTGTAGATTCGTGCTAAAATTGGCTGTCGAAAAGTGAAAGAAGTGGTAATGGCGTCAGCATTTTCTTAGGCAAATGAGCAGGGTGCAGCTTAAGCGAGCACATTTTCATTTGGAAAACTTCAACTGCGGTAAAGACGGGGCAACAGAATGGAAAAATATAGGAGGAACGCAGGCTATCAACTGAGGTGCGTCCGTCACGTAATATTTTATTCTTTTGATCCGTCTCTGGCGCAGTTGAAGTTTTTCAGATGCCTCACCAAATATCCCCCAAACACACGCATCTCGAGTACACTAACACTGTCGTTTTATCGTTCCTGTTTGCTTTTAAATAGAAGGAAACACGCGAGGGCATGTTCTGCGCTCTGCGACCGCTAGAGTGCCATCAACGAACACGCAAAAAAAAAAAAAAAGCCCGTCCTATCCTCTTTTGGCGTTATCCATTGCCAAAAAAGAAAAAGTGAACCAGTCATAGCGGTTAAACATTCGCTGCTAGATGACGGTCCCGCGACGTGCGATGCCGCCAAAAGCGGACGTCTTTTCTTTAACTGCCGGTCAATGCAGCTGTCGCTGGTCACCGCAGATTGAAGGACACGTGCTGGCGTGTTTTTTGTCATTAAGAACGACGGTATACATGAAGCAGCAATATTTTACCGCTGGAAGAACCCAGGAGTTTACCGCGAGACAGACGGTGCGATTTGCCGTGCGATGCGGCGTGACGATGTGGCAGTCGTATAGTGATGACGTTTCGTGAAGTATCATCGCATCGCACCACCGCATGCATAGCCAGTGCGGCGAGCATCAAACAGGCCAGAGAGTTTCGTCATCGCATCTCACCACCACATCGCGACAACCAATCACAGCTCGAGCAGGCGAATGGCGTCATGCCGCTGGTGGCGCCATCTCGCTGTCGCCAGTCTAATCACTCTTTGTCCAAGCCAGTTTAGGAAGCATCTTGCTAGAAAGCGCAGTGACTATTACACAGAACACACAACACAAGCGCCTAACTTCAACTAAACGTTTATTGCAAACGTCAGAGTTTATAAAGCGGGCGAAAAGAGAAAAAGAATAATAAAAGGTAGACAACAAAAAGCACCCATGCCAGTCCCGTACATTACTATCCGTTATTGTCTATCACCCCATCCAAAAACATGGTTTTTTCCGCGTGAGCGAGATAGAGGGTGCACTAACACACTCAAAATCATCGCGTGTCATCTCCTCCGCTTCTACTATCAAACGGATTAATAAATCACTGTCGCGATATAACGCGCTCGTGTTATCAAAATAAGGCACACAACCGCACTCCTTACAGTGGATCGCCAAGTGACCATCGGTACCCTTCTGCACTTTATTGTGGTGCTCTTTTAGCCTCTCATTAATGCATCTTTCAGTTGTTCTCACATAAACAAGACTCGCTCACTCTCTACCTCGCTCACGTGGAAAGAAATATGCTTTTTGGATGGGGTGATAGACAATAACGGATAGTAATGTATGGGACTGGCACGTGTGCTTTTTGTTGTCTACCTTTTATTATTCTTTTTCTCTTTTCACCCCCTTTATAAACTCTGACGTTTGCAATAAATGTTTAGTTGAATTTAAGCGCTTGTGTTGTGTGTTCTGTGTAATAGTGGCTGCGCTTCCTAGCAAAATGAATCCTTACTAACTGGCCCGATACAATTGTTTATTACGTTTAGGAAGCACCAGCTAAATACTGTAGTCTAGGTGGTGTTGGTACAGTGTTGGTTCAGGCCAGTCGCTGGAGTGGCGTGAGCCTGTATCTGCTGACATCGCCGCTTGCGGCGGCGTGACAAATGTTGAGTACATTTTCCTTGAGACGTGAAATTATTCCGGATTGAATGAAGTGATGTTTCATGTGTTCCATTTCTGGAAGACAACGCCCGTTTTGAAACCGATAGCGAGATCGAAGATTGTGAGCAGTGATGCAAGGTCATTTCGCAAGTAAACAATGCTACACCAGCGTCTCTGTGGGCCGGCTCACTTTGCTTCCGCCTTTGCTCTTCACATCGATGACATCTAGAAAGTAATAGCGTATGCTAAGGTATTACGTACGAGTGCAAAGCTTAGTTAGTGTTATCAAGAACAAGCGCTCGATGACAAGCTCGCGTGTGAACGCCGTAGGCGACGGCCGGCGCTCGCCATGGTAGGCCTACCTGTCGAAGTCATGAATAACCAGCTGTTGCCGCTTTTGCGCCGTGCTTGTCGTCCATGAAGGCATTTTATTCATTTTTAACGGGACAAATCATGGCTCTGCAGTGTTTGTTTTGAGCTTCATTACGAGGATACGAAGTCGTCCGACCGCGCATGCCGAGATGCCGCATGGGGGCGGAGCCTGCCGCTGATAGCTCCTTTGCCCTCGTATGTCCCGAAACGTCGCATGCGGCACGCCGCACCATGCGACACCGCACGCCACACCGATGTGGTGTGTGGAAAGTACTCGGGTGCTGCAGAGCGCCGAGCGAGTTTTGGACCCGTCAACAAACGACGCGGATCGGTTCCCCGAAAGGAAACGCGGAAGACCAACCCATGGGAACAAAGGCGACTCCCTCGTTCACGCCGTTCACGAGCAGAGTCGTCAAAGTCACCCGTAGTTTGGGACAAAATGGGAAAAGCCTACCGGGAAGTGCGTCTCGGAAGAGCCAATTTAAGTGCTGTCGTCTGGCTTTAAGTTTATGGTTCGGCATTCGCGTGTGCCACTTGGGAATGCCGCGCGGACCCGACCACTGGGCCGATGGAGACCTATTTGTGGTATGCATGCAGCCTTTGGTAACAATACGGCTTTCCGAGCATGCAAGCGAGCTCCCCCCCCCCCCCCCCCCCCCCCCTGCTGTACGTATATGATATATATTACGTAGCGTTCTTGGGATGGCGGGGCGCCTTGCTGTCGCATGCACACATTCTCAGCGCACAGGGCCTGACTGTGTGCTTACTGCGTTTAGGGCAGCTTCTACGAAGCGATGTTTAGTGCGCGAGCGGAGGGAGCTCGAGCGTGAAAACGGCTACCGCCGGACGTCAGCTGACACACGAGCTAACATGGGAGAGAGTGTGACGACACATTTCACGCAGAAAACCTATCTTCTCGCGTGTTATATTCGCACTAAGCAGTGCTGCCGCAAGGGCGGCAGAAGATAGGCCCTTTTTTTCTTTCTTTCAACCACACATTCATATTCCCACTGTCCATAGAATGACGCGTCACACAGCGGATAATGAGAAAAACGCCTCAAGGATGACCAACCGACGACGCAGCGCTTTTACGTGGCTAGTGTGGGCCCGGCCAACACCTGACATGCAGGCAGGGAGCTTTCGTTAGTCATTTTCACGAATGAGTGGCAATATCCAACGTATGGGCGCCGGGCCAAAGAGCGCAAACCAGATTTGCATCGGAAATACTGTCACATTCTTTCTAGTGAAATATATGTGAAATTCCTGCTTCTCGAATGTGTGGTAATCTGCTGGCAAGTCTGCGCCGCTCCAATACGCTTTAGTAGTGGGTTCCCCTCGCAATACCAAAATGTGATATTGGGTAAGCCTTCAGGCAGCTTCCAAAACAATATTGTCAGCTTCCTCCCTCGAGGCGTGGGAGTCGCTCCTGTTGTTAACCGACCCCGTGCAAGATTTTGGCCTCCACCATTCGAACCACCGGTAAGATGAAGTCAACGACCTCGTAGTGTCGTCAGTAATCTTCTTTTTCACTCTCTCACTCAATAACTTGGTTGTATGCCGTTTAAACAAGGAGAGGTGGGAAAAAAAAAGAAAGCACGAACTTGGCATGCGCCAATAGAAAACCCACGCGTGCGTGCTACATTGATATCAGTTTCTGTGCAATTTGTCTGTTCTGAGCACCATTCTGAAATCAGCTTCGCGATGTTACAAAGCCATCTTGTTCGAAGTTAACGTGCTGTAGTATTAATGTTATTATAAGTTTATATATGTGGCTATCGCCTCAGCGTTTCTTGATTGCAGCTAGCCGCCCAAGCATTCATCCAATAATTATGTCTTTGCTAACACAACTACAAAAACTGCCTTACGAAATTGGCGACTCCAGTATTTGACGAGCTTAGCGCTCATGAATAATTAAATAAGATTTAACTTTGTGTTGCCGTGGACGAAATAATTCAAGTTCCAAACGCTTCCAATTGTCAAGAGATAACCGTATTCCTTCACAATATTACAGCTTGAACCAATTTGTTTTCGTTAGCGACAAAGCATCGCGTATGGCATAGATGGTGCATCTTTACCCCTTTCGCCTTTGTAAACTGCCCACGAAACCGTTCAAGACATTAAGTGTGCGAGCTAGATTACACTACATATAATACGGCACCGGCTGTTACATATGGCAGCCACATATGGTGTGCATCGTCGCAACATTTATTCATGAGAAGCCATGATGACATCCACGGACAAAAGCGGTTCAGTGCAGTGAAGAGAGAAGCGGAAATCGATGCTCGTAAATTGCGCTGAGGTAAATTGATGCTCGTAAATTGTGCCTCAAGACATTCACAAATGGTTGGCTTGCGAACTGGTGCTCACTTATCATTTCCTTTGCGTGTATTTGCTATTTATTTAAATGTGGAACTTCATGCCGCGTCATGGAAGCGGCCTGGTGTAATTACATTAGTCAAAACAAGTTAATAAACACGCTTCTATGCCCTCCTACTCGCTTGCCATCATGCTGTGGACCGCCGTAAATGGCTGGATTGATATGGCTGTACCCGTTAGATCAGGCGGTGGCTAGCGCCACCAAGCCGTAATACTTAATGAACCAAAAACTACATTTCTTTTTTTTTTCTTTAAACAGTGAGGTTGAGGATTCGTACTTTGCAGTGAAGCGTTTAGTTTTCACTCGTGCCTTGACTTTAGCCACCAATCAGATAACCTCCTTCTAGTTAATTCTACCCACTGAAGGTCTATTTTACCCTCCCTGTCCCTAAACCCCAGTGCTTTTAAAAACTCTGCGCCAGCATCCTGAACTATAGGGTGAATACCTCTACAGAACATTATCAAGTGTTTGGCAGTTTCCTCCTCCTCTCCACACGTTGTGGTTTACCATGTTGGTTTATCTTGCGCGCCACCTATAGGCAGCGGACAGTGCGAATAACTCGTAACGGGATTTTTACCAATTCAGTGTCTGTTATGAAAGTGTTTCTGCAATTCGTTGTGAGAATGCGAGCCCCCACGTGTGATTGGCTTGTGTGGAGACCCTTTGTTTGACCAAGGGCTCAAAAGAGGGTGTTTGGATGTAAAATGAGAGCCGAGGTTTGGGCTTGGACCTCAGCAGACACCTGAGTGCTGCAATAAAGCGTCTCTTCACTGGACCACAGCTATTCCTTCACACTGCCACCGTGCACTCGGGTCATCGATGGGCGCCCATTCGGAGCCTTAAACACTTTCTCTCCTTTGCTAGTGTGGGAGCTATACAGTGAAGGAGTAGGAAGTTAACACTATGCAAGTTCAGAACAAAAACACAAGGGCAACATTGCGCCCATGTTGTAGATGTTCAATTTTCATTCTCAGACAGGAAAGCATGTGTTGTATAACATGTTTTAAAACGTTTACAGACTTCTTCGAAATCATTGGTTTAGTGACACTTTGTACCAGTCGAGGTTTGCCCCAGTAGATATGCCTTTTTTGTGTAGTTTGTTGTGACGTATATAAAACGTAACATTAAAGCTAGTATATCATTCAGCCCCAAACTTGCTAATTAAAATGCCTATATGTGAGTGTATTTATATTATTAAACCACAGCCATGGAGGAGGTCCGTGCAGCACAAGAGAGGACTGAGGGGGACGCTGCAGCTGAGGAAGCAGCGGTGGCGCCACGGTCTCTTGAGAAACAGGAGGACAATGCTGAGAAGGTGTGCCGCGTCTGCTACTGTGAGGCTGACCTCGAAAATGGGCCCCTGTTCCAACCCTGCTCCTGCAGGGGAACAATAGGGTTCGGACACAAGCGGTGCATTGAGGCCTGTCTGAACAAGTCGGGCGATTTGTGCTCAATCTGCCTCACACGCATCAAGTGCCGCCGTAAACGACCGGTGAGTGTCGCCAAAGAGAATAATATGTGTGTTGCTCAATTGCAAGGAAGAGCGGTGATTAGAAACATTTATACAAATACTGCAAGAAAACTCGAGAGTGAATCGAGGTGCATGAGTGCATTCTAACAATAGCGGTATCTCTTCTGGAGTATATATAAATATTCGGCCGAAGCCCTACGTAAGGAATAATGCTAGGCACGCTATTTCGCTTCGTTTGTCAAACATGTGACGATATATTTCAGCGTAATAAAGAACACAATAGAAGACCTAGAAAACCCCGAGACTCCTTGCACGGCTGCCGTTACTTGCACGGGCGGTGGTACTTGACTCAATCCACTATGACCAAAGGACATTTGTCATGAGCAGGCCAAATCTTTCGCCACCTACTTGGATAGTCACGTATGGGCATTCAAATGAATGCGATCGCTCATTCAAATTTCACAGTATGCGGTAATAACAAAGAAAAGCAAAGACTTTTTCTGAGAGAAGTATTTGAAGATCCCTTAGATGATAAAGTTATAACGTGTACTGCGTAAATTTTATTGTTTTGATGCTCATTTCGCAATCAAAGAGTCCAAAACTGACGTGACTGCGACCCATGACTTAGCCGATATTACTGAAGCAAGGCATGTGACCGGGCTAGTTGGGATTGCATGGGGACATGATCAGTGCGTGAGGCACAAGGACAAGGAAGTCCTCATCGGTTCTTTGTCTTTGTATGACTCACGCCTTGTTTACGTCACTGATATTACTGCGTACGCTATGATTCAGCGTGCAACCATTGTAAGGAGCCCGCATCGTCACATCGTGTCCCGAATCGTCGTTTGTTTCCTCCAGCCCAGAGAAAGCGTTCTCGAGGCTGCTAACGTTAAAATAGAGTGTACTAGAAGGGGGCAGTTGAGTGAATGAGGTGGCCGTGCCTTATCTCGGCTGATTCTCCGGCGGGTGACAGTAGCGGCGGCGCTGTAGTCGCATGATACTGAAGATCTCAGGAGCGTCTGCATTGGGAGCGCGTGCGCGAAAGTGTGTAATTGCTCGTTTTTAGCGAGTTTAATGCGTTTCTGAGCCTTCACAAGAGTATGCACACCTGCTACGTGCCATGGTAGCAGGTGTGCTACCATGGCGCGAATAAATACGCAGGCATGCCGATACCGCCTCAAGACATTCACTGTATAAAAAACCTACTGACAAAAAAAAAAAGAACACGTTAAGTCGTCACTTGAGCGGATCCGCCTAGCTTCTTACTCAAGCAGCCCTTTGAGCTACGTGACATCGGCAATGTCTACGATATCCAGATCACTGTTCCTCATATGAGCCCACATGCGCTCGATTGTTTCATGAGAAGCCCGAGTATAACTAATGTTGTCACAACATTTTTATGGGCGACGACTCATTTTTGTCATGTCAGTGTTGCGGAAGAAAATGAATTATGTTTTCTGAAAAGCTCGTATTGTTTAAACTGCGTGCTTTCGCGCTTACTCTGCATCTTTTTTGTAAGCTTCAAGTGCTTGTAATACCGGGAGGCCAATCTGAAGGACAACGTGTACCTAAGAGTCATAAATTCTGCGCGAACGGGGTTATCTTAAACATAATAAAAAGTACCAGTTGTATATATAGACCGTCGGTTAATCTGCGTAAATTCACTGTAACCAGTTCTCATTTTGTATTGACAGCTTAAATTGTGCTGCTTTCCAAGTATTCTTTTGGCGTATGGCCATTGCAAGCCCAGCGAATTCATGACGATGTTTTGTAATATAAATGTAGTTATTTTATTAAGTGTCAAAGCTGTAGGCAGGCGGTGGTGCATTCTGTCTTGAGAAATTTAACTTGTATATATATGCACACACACACACACACACACACACACACACACACACACACACACACACACACACACACACACACACACACACACACACACACACACACACACACACACACACACACACACACACACACACACACACACACACACACACACACACACACACACGCACGCACACACACGCACGCACACACACACACGCTCACACGCACGCACACACACACACGCACACACACTTAAGCTTTCGTGAAGCCATCAAACAAGGGCGTGTCGGTGTCTTTTGGCGCCTCTTCAGCCGTGACTGTCGGTTGTGCAACGCTTTCCTTGAGTACTTACAGATAATGCAAGGCATTTCTTCCTTTGTTGATCTGCCATGACATTTGGTGCTATACGCAACTTGAGATTTTTTATTTATTTGACGTTGCAGGTGTTCTGTTAGGTTGCCCAGCAAGTAGTCTTCGTCGCTCGCCGCAGCACCTTTACGAATATGCATTTCGTGTGCCTCCTCTAGTAGCTTAGTCGTGCCATTCATCGTTGATACAGCCACGTGTGCCACGAGTTGATGTGCCAACACAAACGTCCTTGAGCTTGCTCCACTCGCACTGTCAATGGTGAAGAACACAGCTTTTTCGACATGCACTTCACCAGTGATGGAGTTCAATGAGCACGAGGTAAAGCACACCCCTTCATCGTCGCGAAGTTCATGGAGCGTCCGGTAGTTATTGGGCGGCTTGAGTTGCTTCAAGTCTGCGATGGTTAAGGGAGCATGTGTGTCGTTTATGTTAAAAGGTTCGTCCGCATCATCCTGTTAGTCAGTATTGGTCAAGCGCTGCTTCTTCCTTAATTGGCCCAGCCGACTCATCCCGTTTGCTCTTGCGACTACTTCTTTCACTGGGGAACGCGCTTGCTCAAATATTTAGGAAGATTCGGCAAAAGTGCCGGTATTGCCTCCGGATCGAGCATGGGCTTACCTCGCGGGATTCTGACTTCTGCACCGTCGACAGTGTGCACGTACTCTCTGACGACGTAGCGCGGCTCAAAGTGGAGCTCGCAAACCGTGCAGTCTTCGGTGGGCGGCTTGTCCACCCTGTGCAAGTTTCTTTCCCACTGTCGTCTTCTTTCGAGGTCGGCAGGTGCTTTGAACACGGAAAGCTTTCCCGTGTTTCTGTCCATGCATATCCAGTCGTGCACCCCGGCACGTAGCAGAACTTCAGGCGCTGCTTAGGTCCCATGGACGCGATTTCACTGTGCTAAGAACACGAAACTACCCGCTCACACCGCCCACGACACGTTCGCGCCAAAAGTAGACGCGCGTGATAACTAGCAAGCGACGACATGGCCACCGCTACCACCACTTACCACTGAAGGTGCGCTTCGCCGTGCGCCAAATATCGCCTGTTCGGCCGGTTTCAACCAAAAATGGTCTCAACATTGCAATAGCAGCAGAACGTATTCGTTCACGAAAAAACTTCTGGTAACACTATTTTGTCACGGATCTTTAACCTTAAAGCTTGCTTTCTAAAATTTGATAGAATGTGGAAAGGCTCTTTACACACAATTTGGATAAAAAAAAGGTGCTTATTATCCATGAATATGTCTCATAGCATTGTGCACAGCTTGGAAGAAATTAATTAGAAATAGTTGGCCAGACGCAGGCAGAAAAGTGTTGAAAGCGAGCGAGCTACTCGATAAGGCTCGATAAGCTACTCGCTACTGTTCACCGCCGATGCTTGTACGCAAGACTGGCGCTCAAAGCTAGAAATTGTCTGTGTATATAACAAAACCCAGCGATATTTCTGACGCTGCTGTCGGTATGTGTCGGTCGCTATCAACTCTAGCAGTTGTTGTAAACCTTGAGTAATGAAGCTTTTAATAGATGCTTGCTCGATAAACACATTTAATAGATGCTGCACATGCTGCTGGAAGGTATGTGAATTGTGAAAAAAAAATTAAAGTGGAATGATCGCCGCAGTAAATATCCCAAATCTCGCTCTAATTGAGCCGAACTCGTTGCTGGGCTAGTCGGTACAATACTTATAAGTAATGGACGACGAACCACTGCTGGAAGAAATAAGACAGAAGAAACAGAAAGGGTATGTCTTAATCTGATTTCTTCTGTCCTAACTGTTTTCTTTTTGTTGGTTAGGCGTCTACAATATTCAGAATAACTGAGCGGATTAATTGGAAGTTAGATGCGCTCAGAAACCATTGAGATAAAAAAAGATACCGTGTCAAACGCAAGGAGAACCAGGATGCCGTAAGTAGATGGGGGAGAGGAAAGGAATCTGAACCCCGAACACCACGAAATACTTTCGCAATTTAACTTTTTAGGGTATAGCAAAATATTCACTCGCATTTACAGCGACCCCCCAATTACCAAAGTTAGTCGTTCGGCTGCACACAACCCTGCCTCCTCCTCCTCAAAAAAAAAAAAAAAAAACCTGTGGAGCTTTGCGCCGAACGTTTAGCGTGTCTCTGTAGAAATGCGCTCTGTAAATGTCACCTTTTCGACAGTATGAGGTCTCAAAACTACTTCAAGTCCAACGTAGTCGGACGAAAAACGCACCGCGTAAAAATAGCGGCCGTATGGATATTCTGAGTGGGGCATGACGTGTGACTTATGTGCGTATACTTGCAGATATATATATATATATATATATATATATATATATATATATATATATATATATATATATATATATATATAAGGGAAAGAGGTGTATACATAAAGGTTCGTTTTTTCGTGTTTTGACACAATAATAATGGGATCTAACAGACAATAATGCCAAGGAATGTATAGGGGAAGTTATTAGAACGAATGTAATGTAAATATGAAGAAAGAAAAGTGGGTGAAAAAACAACCTACCGTGAGCAGGAATCGAACCTACGACCTTCGAATAACGCGTTCGATGCTCTAACCACTGAGCTATCACGGCAGCCTTCCCCCCATCCACTTTTTTGAGTTTATGTGTGAATTTAAACGTGGGAGTGTCAGCCAGCGCCATCTGTAGCCAAGCGGCGAGTGTGGAACACCCTGCTATTAGCCTGTGTGGCGTCACATAGCACGCGAACTTATTACGAGCGGGCACCTGACCAATAGTCTCTCGTATACAACCTGACAGCACCAAGTCTGTCAGTACGACACCCTCGTTAATGAATAAGGGAAAGAAGTGTA